TTTTGTGGGGGGGGGGGGGGGGGCGAGTAGCCCCTATCTTCATTTTGGTTGCCCCTATCTGCCCAACACGGGAATAAAAATGATTTTTTTTTCAGGGCTGGTTGGAGACTTTTCAGCTTCCGGTATTCCCAAAGCAACAGGAAATGTGTCAGCAATCAGGGGGCCCTGTCTGGTGATGCACGGTTGGCCATCTTGTATGCTTGGTTCAATGTTTTTAGAATAGGGGTAGGCAGCCCAGACACCCCCCGCCGTGATAAAACTACTAATTCCATCAAGCCTCTGCCTCTTGGACTCATGCCTGTGGCTGTCAGAGTCTTGCAAAGCCTCATGGGACTTGTAGTTTCACAACAGTTGGTGTGCTGAGGTTGCCTAGCCCTGTTTTGGAGAGTAAGCTCAGGGGAGCAACACAGCAGCTTCCAGCGTGTGCCTAAAGTGGACTCTTTAGTAGCTTTAGTCCAATTAAAGTCCAATTCAAATACAATATATGTATTTCGAGTAGAAAAATTTTGGAATGGGACGGCTTTGACTCACACCATGTATCTTCTGCAATAATGGACTCTTACCTGTCTGCTCACAAGCTTTTTGACAATGTGCATTGTGCTGCGCATGCACACCACAGTGTACAGTGCAGGAGTGCATTCCAGTGAGCACATTTGGGGGTTATATCATCCCAGCGCGGCCAATGAAGATGGCTTAAAATTCTGAACAGGGATGAGGAACGAGTGTAGATGTCGGCACTGATGAGAGACTTTGGGGATAAAACATCTCTGGAGGGGAAGGGAAGATCCTGAACATGGATGAGGAACAGTTGTGGATGTCGGCACTGGCGAGAGACTTCGGGGACGAAATATCGCTGGAGGGGAGTGAAGATCCTGAACAGGGATGAGGAACGAGTGTAGATGTCGGCACTGGTGAGGGAATTTGGGGATGAAACTTCACTGGAGGTGGGGGGTGAAGATCCTGAATAGGGATGAGGATCAGTTGTAGATGTTAGCACTGGTGCAGAGCAGCCATCAGGGGGGGTAAGGCCGATACTCATGTAAGGGGCCCGGGCAGCCTGGGGGGCCCGCCCGGGTCCCTTACATGACTATCGGCCAACGGTGAACGGCGAGGAGGCGGAGGTCTGGCCCTAGCAGCGCAGGGCCCCAGCATTGCAGCTCCAGCGGCTTTGAGACAGGCTAGGGCCCCATCAGCGACGCTGCTCGTCTGATGTCGGACTGGCCGGAAGTGACGTCACTTCTGGCTGGTCTGGCGGGAGACGGGGCCACGGGTGCGGGGAAGAGGCGCTATAGCACTGGTGCAGAGCAGCCATCAGGGGGGGTAAGGCCGATACTCATGTAAGGGGCCCGGGCAGCCTGGGGGGCCCGCCCGGGTCCCTTACATGACTATCGGCCAACGGTGAACGGCGAGGAGGCGGAGGTCTGGCCCTAGCAGCGCAGGGCCCCAGCATTGCAGCTCCAGCGGCTTTGAGACAGGCTAGGGCCCCATCAGCGACGCTGCTCGTCTGATGTCGGACTGGCCGGAAGTGACGTCACTTCTGGCTGGTCTGGCGGCAGACGAGGCCACGTGTGCAGGTAAGAGGAGCTAGGAAGGAAGGAAAGGAGGGAGGGGAGGGATGCAGCCCTGACCAGCCCACCTGAGACCCCTTCAGAGCCCACCATAGACAGTCTCAGATGGGCTGTGCAGCATCTACTGTGGGCTCTGCAGGGTCACTCTCAGGTGGGTCCTGTGTCCAGCACGTCACTAAGCCCTGCGTCCAGCGCGTCACTAAGACCTGCGTCCAGCACGTCACTAAGCCCTGCGTCCAGCGCGTCACTAGCAGGGGGGGGGGTTTAAAGCCGTGTAAGGGGCCACAAAATTTCTGATGGCTGCCTGCACTGGTGAGGAACTTCGGGGACGAAACACCACTGGAGGGGGGAGGGAAGATCCTGAACAGGGATGAGGATCAGTTGTAGATGTCGGCACTGACGAGGGACTTTGGGGAGGAAACATCACTGGATGGGGGAGCGATTATATTCCACTTTAACCTATGTACTGTAATAATGTTGCTGCAACGAGGTTTTATGATGTTGCCCCTTTGGCGCCGGCAGCCGCGAGAACACATATATATTGGAAAATGTCATCCACGGGAATGCTATAAATCCAGATATCACCCCAAGAAAAATCAATGAACATCTCCGGCCGTTGTCACTTCAGCAATTCGGCGCGGCGGGTAGCCATGAAAAAAATCGCACCGTCGGGTATTTTCTATTTCCAGGTTATTAAACTTCCAGAGAAAACTGATTTTACGGTTCATAAACAGAACCAAAACGTAAGGACATAAAACCTCCGACGGCGAGCGGCTCGCCCGCTATTTCCTGTAAATACACCGCGAGATTGTTTCAGTGAACGGTATAAACCATCGTAAAATGCTCCATTTAAAGTGGAACTCCCGCCAAACTTTACCTAGAGCCTCCATGACTGATATAACTGAGATCCAATGAATGAAAGGGGCGGGCCAGAGACTGTCCATCCATTCCTGAGATTTACACAGCTCTGCCCCAAACAGTCCTGGTTGGCTGGTCAGGGTCC